GATTTTTAAAATGTCTTTAAACATCAGTCTTATCTTTTGTGGTGTTTTGTTTTGAATGTCAAATCAGGAGTTTTCCTAGTTCAGCAAAACATCTTTTTCAAATTTGCCGAAGGCTGTTCCAAGATACATTGTTGCTGTGCACTTAATACTTTGTTTTCCTTATAGGCGTTGATAGCTCCTCTACCACAAGCAGTGCTTCTCCAATGCCCAACAGCTACGATGCCTTAGAAGGAGGCAACTATCCAGGTAATATATTGTTTTGTGTTTGGTTGAGGTTCATTATAAGAGTTAGTAACCATTCATTGCTTTGAAACATGAAAATTTATTATATGTATAATATTTATAATTATTCTATATAGTTAACAGACAATTGGGGGCTCGCACAGCTCTTATCACAATCCATCCATCCATCCATTGTGTCAAGCACATTTATACATAGGTTGCCATCAGCATTTTCAAAACATTTTCTTTCTACTCAAGCCCTTGGTATCAGCTCATTTCCCCACCTCCCTCATGAACCCTTGATAATTTATAATTCCCCCACCCCCCATGAACAGACAATATTTTCAACAGAAAAATAAACCCTTTGATTTTCTTGGCAACTTTAAAAAATTATCTAATTTATTTACTTTAAAGGTGTTATCTTTGACAATGGTCTGCTTCCATTCACTAGGCCTTCAGTATCTGGCAGTGTTTTCATGCCATGCATAAAGTCCTTTGTATTCTCCTCTTATTCTGGAAGCTCTGCTGAAACCTGTTCCCTACTGGCATTTGAAATACCAGTTTCATAGCATCCAGCATCACAATAACACGAAAGCCATCACAGTACAACAAATTGACAGAAGGGGTGGAATGCATTAATTTACAAGTGTTAAAGGAGCCATAGTGCAGCTGTGGGTTAGTTGTTGGGCTGCTGACCACAAGTTCAAACCCAACACATTGAGAAAGGTGGTGGGACTATGTACTCCTCTAAAGGATTTACAGTCATAGAAAACCTATTACAAGGTTGCGGCCAGTCAGAATCAATTCGATAGCAATGGCCTTGGTTATTTTTGGTTTAGTAATGTTAAGTGATAAATGACTGCTATGAATGTTGTTTCTTTTTTTAAGAGAACAGTTATTAAGTCTTAAATAGGACAAGGACAAGATAACTACAGAGACACAGCATGCAGATGAGGGAGACCATGAGCCAGCCCAAGGTCATAATGGTGTTCAAGGGTTTGCTGAGATTCAGAGTTTTAAAAAGGGCAAAGAAAACTGTCACAAAAACATGGTTGGCAGCAAATGGGTACATCCTAGTTACCAGTAGAATTCTCGAAGTGGGACCAGTGGCCATGATTCGGACACTTACGTTAACTTAGAGTAGCTTACGATAATTGGCCCAAGGGCTTCCTTGCAGTAGTTAGGGTAAGATTCATGTCTTTTAGCTCTCAGGTGTTGTGATCTCCATTGAATAATATTTCTACTTGCCCCCCCAAAATTTATTATTGTACTATACTTCTACCTTTTAGTCTTCCTAAGGGACTTTTAATAATGAATAATCTTTCTCTGCCTAGAATCAAATGGTAGAATCTTTTAATGATTTAAATAATGATTATAGTAGACTGTTTTTTCACTTAAGATTTATTTGGCTTTTAGTGCATACTAGACATTGTTCTACAGGCTGTAACATAGTTCTGGACATTGTCCTTTGTATTGCACTCACAGTTTTGCCTCTGCCAGATAATGCAAACTTCTGGTGGAGGATTGTGGGAAATACCTCATTGTGTCCATGTACTTGTTTTGTTAGAGAAGACAGAATCTGCTAAAAGGCAAATTAGAAAAGAGAGTAGTTGGTACCCTTCTGGCTTTGCTTTTGTTTCTTGGCCGCATTCCTGCTGAGAAAATTAAAACTAAAACAAGTCTCAGCAACATGTATACTTAAAGTTCTTATCTGTTAGAAAAACCAACTGGATTATTTGTTGGAAATAAAGGAGTTGGGGTTTGTCTGTATATCCTCCTGTAAAAACAAGTGGACTGAGCACAATATATAGAACAAGTTCAGTAATTTATTGGTAATTTTTGCAGCTGAATGATGGGTACGTGGGGGTTCTTTATAGTATTCATGTGTGTTTTACTGCCATCAAGTCATTCTGACTCACAATGACCCTGGACAGAATGGAACTGCCCCTGTGAGTTTTTGAGACTAACTTTGTACTATAAATATGTACCGTATGTACTCGTGTATAAGCCGAGTTTTTCAGCACATTTTTTAATGCTGAAAAAGCCCACCTCGGCTATTACTGGAGCGAGGGTCCCATTTACCTGTTTTCTGGTGCAGTGCGGATTCTCCGGTCTCTCCCGTCATCTGCGGGTGCCTGCATCTGCGGGTGCCTGCAGCAGTCCGATGACTGCTGATATCACCACTCTTCTTTTCTCATGCACGCACGCAGCCTCTGTGTTGTCCGTGCAGTACTGGGAAAGAACCTGCCCGCTTCTGTGTGCTGGTACCTGGGGCGCACCGCATCTTATCAGATGAATGTCGGATGCAGCCACACTGTGTTACTGCAAATGTTGCGTTAGCACTTTCCATACATATGCGGTAACGCTGCGTATGCAGTAATGCAGCACATGTAGTAACACCGTGTGTACACAATGCAGTGTGTATATTATGAGCCCTCACACAGGCTGCTGTATGCAAACAGTCATATCATCGCATTCTGGAATATCATCAGCCTGCATTAGCCCTCTAACTATACAAGCTGTGTTGTGTGCATGCGGTAAGGCAGTGTATGTAGTAATGCAGCACATGCAGTAGCAAAGCATGTATAGTATGAACCTAACACAGGCTGCTCTATGCAAACATAGTCATGTCATGACACTCTGGAATATTACCATACCAAACTCTCCAAACCTGGAATACTGTCAGCTCCCTTGGTGATCCAGCATGTTTCAGGTCTCGTGGTGTCTTTTGAGCATGATTCTTTTATGAGGTATCTGTTTTCTGTGGTGAAGTCGATCTGTCTTGCTTCATTCTATTGCCAATTGATTTTACTTGATTATACATATACCGGTAGTTGCCTGGACACCACTGTTTTTACTGTAAATTGACCTCTTTTAAGAACTATAACTAGGGCTTATTTTTGGAGTAGGGCTTATGGTATATTTTGAGAATTCAGTCGCTATGGTATGGCATTCTTTTTTTTTTTTTGGTATGGCATTCTTTTTCAAAGTCTTTTTTTATTCTGTTAAACATGCATCCCAGTACTTCTAATCCTGCACCAAACAAAAACCCAGGTCATACGAAGCAGGTTTCAAACTTAAGGTTGTGTCAAGAGCAGAAGAAAGCAATAACAGTATTGCAAGTAGGGAATTTGCTGTTGACGTAACACGAGTGAGGGAGTGACAGAAAATGAAAGCTGACTTGGAAAAGATTCCAAAGGCAAAAAAGCTCGATGTGGTTTAATGACTTCATATGGGGCTCTAGAGACTGAATTGCATAAATGGGTTATGGAGTGCTGTCAAAATGGTTACTGTGTAACACACATGGGAATTTGCTTTTGTGCCCTTTAAATGGCTAAAGATGACAAAAGCACCAGGCATTGAAAATTTTGTTGCATCAGTAGGATGGTGTACCCGCTTCCTGAATAGGTTTTTCATTCCATTCATTTATCATTTATCATAAAACAAAGAAGGATCCATAACTATGACCTGGAGATATTGGGACTATGGATGAAATACCTATGACCTTTGATCTTCCAAGCAACAGAACTGTCGCAAGTATGGGGACAAAACTACGTATTTCATTCAGAACCACAGGAAATGAGAAAAGCCATTTCACAGCCATTCTGTCATTTTTGCCCAATGGAACTACAGTAAGCTGTGGACTGTCATTATTTTTAAAAGAAAGAACTTGCCAAAAAAGGTTAAATTCCCACCACCAATTACAGTGCACGCGCATGGTTGAAGACGGAACAAAAAAATTGCTGAAAGAAATTTGGAACGGACAACCAGGATCAACCTTAAAGAAAAACCATCAGTGCTCGTTTGAGATATGTTCAGAGCCCACACATCTGATGACATACAAAAAATTGGCAAAGTCTTCTCAAGTTACTTTGGCTGTTATTCCAGGTGGGCTTACATCTGTATTGCAGCCCTTAGCGGTGTGTTTAAATAAACCTTTTCAAAGACTGTGTGTGAAAGATGTGGCATGAGTGGATGTGATCTGGTCAAGCCGACTGACAAAAGTTGGAAATCTGCTGAAGCCCAACATGGAATTGATAGCAAAGTGGGTTCGTGATGCCTGGGAAGAGATTCAAGAGGACCTGGTGCAACGCGCCTTCAAGAAATGTGGCATCAGTAATGCTGTGGGTGGCAGTGAAGACAGCGCTTTGTATGAGAGCGACAGCAGTGATGGTGATGACTGCGAACTCGGTGATGATGACAATGTCTCTGCTGATGACCTCATACCAGCTAAAGCTGAAGCTCTGTTTGGACAGGCAGATGATGGGAAGGAGGAATTCAGTTTTGAGGGACTTTAACTCTTGTGTTTTAGCTTGGTTGCTGATTGAGCTAAGGTTTTTGTACTTTTAAAGTTATTGTTGATACCATATTGTTTTGGTTGACCCTCTTTTCCACTTACAGAGCTAGTTTATGGTTTTTCTTTGAAATAAATATTCAAAAACACTTAACCTTCTGATGGCTCAATTAATGTAATTTTATTGGTATCTATTTTTATTTTGAAATTTGCCAATAGCTGCTGCATTTCCCACCCTAGGCTTATACTTGAGTCAATATGTTTCCCAGTTTTTTTGTGGTAAAATTAGGTGCCTCGGCTTATATTCGGGTTGGCTTATACTCTAGTATATACGGTCACTGTCCATCTGTCTTTTTGAAATGTTGCCATAATGTTTTATTTCAATATAATTTCAAACTTAAAAAGTTGTAAGAAGTGAGTAAAAGAAATTACTTTTTAAATCTACTTTTTAACCTAATAATGCCTCATCTTTCTCCTGAAGAGCAAATGGTGGTTTCTAACTGCTAGCCATGTGCTGAGTGATCAGTGCATGATTCACCAGAGCTCTGCTTTGAGTTGGATTCAACTCGATGGTCGTTTATGTGTGTGTTTGAAAATGTTTGAAAGGAAAAAGAGAAAAACCAAAGGCTGTGGCTCATTTAGGAGGCAAGTGTTTATTAAAGTGTCTTGATTCTCTGACAGCAGTGCTATGTTTTTCTCTGTTAGACATGCTTTCTTCGGCAGCCAGCAGTCCCGCCCCTGATCCTGCCCCTGAACCTGATCATGCTGCAACTCTGGCTCCTGCTGCTCCTCAGCCTACAAAAATGTCCAAGCCTTTTGGCTATGGTTATCCAACTCTTCAGCCTGGTTATCAGAATGCTGCAGCACCACTTAATTCCGGAGTACAGTCCAGTAGCAGCATGTATTCTGGATTCCAGCAGTATACTCAGGTATCAATTGAGTCATGTAAAGTCCCTGCAGTTTTCAAAACCGAGTCTGTTATCAATTATAGCAAATCTATGTTGATGCAAATGGATAACAGGTACAATTACATGCCTGGACCAGAGATACAAGAATTTGGTATCAGTTTTTTATGTGATACATAGAAAAAAGATAAGAAATAAATAAATAGCAATGTTTATCGAGATTTAAATCTAGGTGAAAATATTAGGAGTAATGTTAATTTCTTTACCTTTACAGTGAAGGTACAGGGTCTCAACAGCGTTATTTGGAAATGTGAAGAGATTGGTCTTGGGAATAAGAGTACACTTAAACAGCAAGGCTTTTTATCTGTCTTCATTGTTATCATTCCTGATTGTAGTATTCTCTGTGCTCCAGGCAGAGAACTCAGAGGTAAAGGGAACAGGTACAGAGTGAAAGTGGCTTGTATTGTTAATTGGTGAAAATGCGCTTCATAAAACCAAAGTACTTATAAGTAGACTGCCAGTGGTCTTTTACTCTCACTTTTACAATTAATATTTTAAAATGCAACTATAGCACATTATAAATATTAAAACATTCAACTTGAATTTCTGAAAATCGAAGTCACTCACTTAAAAGTAGCCAAAGTCCTGTCTCAGGCTTCACTTAATCAGTAATCCCTTCCCATTTCAAGGAAGAGAAACCACTGCCCTAACTTCTCATACTATAGACCGGTTTGGTCTAGTCTTAAAAGTTGTATAAATGGGATCAGGCAGTATGGATTCTTTTGTGTCCAAATTTGCTCAACATTAACGGTGTACTGTTCCATTTTTGTGAATATACACAATTCTTTTGTTTTTCATTGTGAACTGAGTTTTCATTTTCAGATGATAAATCTACATTCAAGTTGAAAACCACTGACAAACCACTCCCTTCCCCCTCTCCCTTACCTTATTTTTCTATTGTTGATAAACATTTGAACAAACCTAGTTTAAGGCTGTTAAGAATGTTTTCGTGCCTGTCTTTTTGCGAGCATGTCTTTGTAGGAATGGAAATGCCTGGTCACAGGGGTGTCCTAAGTTCAGTGTGGCTGCCACTGCCATACTGGTTCCACAGAGGATGCTGGGCCTTGTCCCTCCCACGGGCAGGGCCAGAGAGTTCCATTTGCTGTGCATCCTGTCAGCACCTGGAAGTTTAACTGATATTCCGTATTCCCCTTTCATTTTATAAATGGGGAAATCCAGACCCCAATAAATGAAACCTATTTATCCAAGACCCAGACTTTGTAGTTACAACACAAAAGACCCTGCAGTTCTGAGTTAAGCACTGCCCCCACCCCTACCCCTGCTTTAACTGGTAAGGATTTATGCAAAAGAAAATCAAAGTGAGGTTTGATACATGGCTCTCTTTAAAGAGAGATTACAAAACAGA